ACCTTATAGACGTCATAATTGGATATTATCGAGTCGCAGCAGGTGTACCAGTCGTTTAGCATCTCCACCACCTCGAAGGGCGTGCTTGTGGTGCAGAGTTCGGTGAATCCCACTATATCGCTGAACAATATGGTGACGCAGTCGAAGCATTCAGCCTCGACAGGATCTCCGCGCTTCAGAAGCTCGGCTACAGGTCTGCAGGAGATGGAATTGGAATGGGTAAGTGGCATCCTAACTAAAGCAGCATTGCAGCAATCACCTTGGCAGCATCTGGTAAAGGAGCATATCGGTTTTCTTCTTCTCTTCGTACAGCAAATTGGTTCGCTCCTGAACCAAGCCCTCCAGATTGTAGGCATATTTCTCCATTATCGATAGCATGTTGTCGAATATATTGGGTTTTCTGGAATTGAAATGCAAGGAGTTAGCTTACGAAAGTCTTATCCAAAATGTGGTACTGACAAGCCAGCCTGCAGCTCCTTCAAGTGCATGCGAACCAGTCTGATATCGGGCCTGACCTCGGGATCCTCATCCCAGCACTGGCACAGGCATTTGCGGATGTAGTCCGGAATGTCCAAGTGGGTGTGCGTCAGAGCAGGTCGGAATACGCCGTGCTGCAGCATTTCCGGGCACTTGACAAACTGAATTATTTCTGCAGCAGCACAACATATACATTTAATTCATTGTTATTATGGTGGTAGTTAAAACCCACCCTCTTTTGAGTAGGTCGTGTCACCCCAAGGACCCTTGCGGCCAATCATCTCGTAGAGCAGTATCCCAAAGGAATAGACGTCCCCCTTCTGGGATCCGCGTCCAGGTCGGTAGGCGTCCCTCAAAAGCTCCGGCGCCATGCAGAGGGCACGTTTCAGTTCCAGTTCACTCCTGCAAACGTCACAAAACGAGAGTGTGTTGTATTATCGGGAGAGTCCGATGACTTTTTTATATTTTATGAAAGGATTTCCAAGCTTAGAATGGCCGTGTGCTCCCTAGGTGTTGTGAACCAAAAGTAAACTAAATGGTGGCGAACAACAGAAAAATCCATAATATAAATATCGTTACTTGTTGGGCTCTTCTTGGCCAGCCTTCAGCTCGTGCAGTCCAAAGTCCGAGATTTGGCACACCCATCGGGAGTCGATGAGGCAGTTGCTGGATCGCAGGTTGCCATGGGATATTATCTCCGAGTCGTGCAGGTAGATCATTCCCTTGAGGATATCGGACACGAGCGAGGAGATGAACATGTGGTCCAGATGCAGGTCTTCGTTGGCCAGCACGTCCTCCAAGCTGCCCCGCGCACAGTAGGTGGTGAATATGATCACGGAGCCGTGATCCGTGGAGGCCCCAATGAAGTTGATAATGTTCTCATGCCGCACCTGAACGATTGTTGTTAAAATGCTTAATACTTTATTGTATTTGGCTGACCTACCTCTCTCATCGATTTCAGTTCCTTGCGAATTGATCGCGTGATGTCTACGCTTTTTTTGTGAATCTTTTTCATGGCCACAATATTGCCACGAAATAGAGCTGAGATATGGGTGAGATACATTAAATAATTTTATTTTAGCTTATTATCAGGTTACCTATATTTGTAAAGGACCTTTTGTTGGGCTCTCCAACCACTAAAATGCTCTGCCGGCAGATTTGGAACTAAAATAATAGTTTTTGAGACAGAAAGGGTAGTTGTTTGGTCATAAATTTTATAAATGTGTAACGCACAATATTCTTATTAGTGGGATTGTTGTATTCGCCAAGATTTATCACGGTCACATCCTTCATGTCCACTTTCCACAAGAGACCTGCCAGAGTCTGTTCATACCGGTAATGCCTAAAAAGAAATACACTTAGATATATTTTCGCTGATACATTTTAAGCATGTATTTATACTTGATTAGCAGAGCAAAAGCCACAACAACAACGAGGGCGCAGAGTGGACCTGAAACCAGGTACCGCCAGTCAAGTTTCTTCCGGGGACACAGTTCGCCATGGAAACCACATATGGGTTCTGCGAGCGGAGGACGCCCATTCAGCCATTGGATGGGTCTATCAGTCTTTATGTAGCGGAATTCCTGGGGGTTTTAATATTGTGATTACGTAGTTAGTATACAGTGGTTCTAGTTGACTCACAGGGATAACAGAGTTCTTGTCGTAGGCAAAGAACCCAACTGGCTGCATGGACATCTTGGCTAGGGAACCTACCGAGCTCCCACTGCCCACATCGTTTTGCAGGGTTATGACTGTGTAATTACCCTCAGCATCGCCATTGGAGTCTATGTAAACCTAGAAGATAGTAGAGGTAGTTTGGTTAAATGGTTAATAAGGCGATAGTGCTATACTTACATCAAAACCTTGAATGGAATGGTAGGACCTGTTGAAAATGTGACTCATCACCAAGTTTCCGTCGTATATATCACCGCCCAGTCTTAAAACTTCTGTTATAGCTCGAACATAGATCATAACACTGTCGTAAAGATGTAGGCCATATATGGGCACCTATAAATATGATAGTGAATAAGCAAATCCATTGAAATTCGCATGGTTCAGAAATAAGGGAAAGCTTTAAAAAATCGAAGATTTCCTACCGATATGTTGTCAAAGACACGTTGATGATATGGCACCAGAAATGGGGTTTTTCGGGCATAGTCTTTTATTTTTGAACAAATGTCGCTGCAAGCATAAGTTCATACAAATTAATAGGCTGCTTTCAATATTTTTTTCAATTATTTATTTAGCATGCAAATGATTTCAACATATTTAGGGAAATGGTCATAAATAATCCTCTTGAATTCCTTTAGTATTATCAAGTATAGAAACGGCCAATAAGCTAATTATATTCTAGATCTTTATCTTTTCCTATTAAAATACGCTAAACCCATGCTTAAAATTAGGCACTACTTTGACCAAACGAAAAACTCCAAGAGATTGTAAAACTACCAGCTTAAAAATGGATTAACAATTGCTAGAAAGACGCAACAAAAATACGCACAGTTAGATAACTAGGAGTCAGATAAATTACCGAATATGGGGGTTTTGTGGATATGTCATGCTTATTTTTATAACTGAACGAAATGAGATTTTGTCCAGCGATTTGCTCTTTTCTTTTCTAATATAAGGATCTAAATAATCTGGAATAGATAGTGCATGCATTAGAATTCTAGCTCGGACTGCCGATCCGCACAGTTCACTTACTACGTTCCATAATGTTCACCCTTCGGTTGGAGTCGTAGATCTCGTCGTCCACGGAAACCACGATGTAGTCCCCACTCTCGAGCAGCCGACGATTCTGGAGGCCTCGCACAAAGTCCACCATGGCAATGTGCTCCCCAATGAACACATAGACTGTTTTGAAGATTCGATGATATACTTAAAAACTTGGGTCAATTTATAGTTCAACTTACTGCGAGTTGTGGCAAATGTTTCTTCTATGATTTTATCGATCTGCGAAAGGGTCTTGGTGGTTGGTATGTAGTCCGAAATATATTTAAAGTGACTGATGGTGAAGTTCCTGGCTTCCGCCAATTCCTGTTCCAAAAACACTAAATAAGCTGCAAAATTCTTCACATTACACTCACTTGAATGGCGCGGGCCACATCCGAGCCCCAAATCGGCTTGGAGCTGACTACTATGGAGAACTTATTCCAATGAAAGGCGTTCAGTAGGCTGATAACGCTTTTCGAGACCTGCAAACATGTAACTTCTTTTTGTAATGCAGTTGGGTAGGATATAATCAAGAACTCACCTTGGAAGCTGGAGCCAAAGTTCGTGCAAAGGTGTGAAATGTACTCTTGTTGGAGACAATTGGATCGGAGCATTTCTGTGGGATTGAAAAAAGGTATTTTGTAGGATGTCTAGATAGATTGAATATTACTAGTGTAATTGCCCACCATCTAGCAATAAGTATATGATGTTCTAGCCTGAAAGGAATTGAATTTGTAAACTAGGACTAGGATAAATAACAAATGGGCTCTAAAGTTGTGTAGTGTCTTTTGTGTTCAAGGAATGCAGGTTATATAGCTTTTGTTCCGGTGCACTTCTTTATGGCAATGGGCACATAAATTGTGGATCAGTCTCCCAAGCAAGAGCTATCTTCATAAGTAAAGGGCAAGGCGCTCTGCTCTCGAATTGAACACCTGTGACCCAGATTCGAGTAATGGGTCTACTAACGAAGGAAAGCATTGGTGTGTTCCAGGCGGAGGCCAGCAGCGCCTCCGTGGTGCAGCTCTCGTCGGGACCGATGAATGCGGTCACGCCAGCTTCCCGCATCTGTGTCATCGCCCTGGCAACGGAAACGGAAGTGGCAACAGAAGCGGCAACGGCAACCGGAAAAGAATGAAATTTAACATGGCATGCAGGATACAGCTACTTAACTTAATGCCATACGAATGAATTACCTCAATGGTTTCACGCGGTAGGCGCTCATTTTGTGACCAATGTCAACCGGCTTGAAGGCCAACTTCTTGCCCGGCAAAAGGTTGGGGTTCTTGTTCACATCCTCGATGGCAAGTGGCAGTCCGCCGAGCGTCACCTAATGTAAATAGGGTCAATTAAAGTCAGCGATGAGTAGTGAATAATAACACCAGATCCTGCCACCCGCGAAGTGCTCCCCGCGCCAAAGGACACTTAATTTATTCATGTTGTGCCAGTTGTGGAGGACCAACGTTAAGCACAACAAAGCAATGCAAAACACTATTATGTACACTACGGGTGTAGCTAATTTAAAAATAAATAATACATGCGAATGAAGCTTGTCCTTTACTAATTGCAACAGAAGGGATTTCACAAGAATAAGCTGGTTCACTTAATTAGTTAAAGAAATTCACCAGAAAGAATTTAATAAGCCGAAAGTTTTCTTATATATAAAACTCCAGATTGTTGAATTGCATATTTGCGTTCCGTCAGTGGCATTCAAATTGCAGAAACCAAAGCTTATTAAAATTCCATTTGCTGCATTAATAAACTGCGCAGGATAACATTGCCTTTCCGCGCTCAAAATTGTTGAATACCTACAGTTCAAGGCAGTTCATTTAGTAATATATTGTTCCGTAATAAGACTTAAAATTTGTGATATATATCACATTACCATATACAACAGAGGTTAATTTTTAGAAAATGCCTCCTATGCGGTGAGCACTATCATCTCAAAGCCGAGCAGATCGTTGATTCCCCGGACGTAGGCCCGCAGCTCGTGGTCTCCGTTATCGATGTGCCTGGCAGCCAGCATCTGGAGGTTGAGTCTCACGGCCAGCACCAAGCTGGTGATGGCCAGGATGAGCAGGTAGTTCCACAGCACAACAGCCAGGAAGACGAGCAACAGACAATTGTCAGCCTCGAAGCAAACTTCCTGGGCCAGACACTCCCACATGTGGCAGGGGAAAAGGCTTAGGCCCTGGGACACCTTCATGCTCCAGGGCACAAGCATCACGGGACTGCATTTTTGCCACACGGAGAGGCCTGCTGTGCGCAGCCTGGAGAAGAACCCCCCGAGCGGTCCGCTGCTGGGCAAGTATATCAGGCCGTATCCGTAGAACACAGCGCCCATGGCAAAGCCGGAAAGCAATGGACTCCAGGCCAGCTCCCCCAGTTGGGCCACCAAGTAGACTCGGGTCAAAGGGCGTGGGAGCTGCGGCGATTGGTCTATTTGGATTTTCACTTCCAGCATCGAGAGCATTAGGGTCAATTGGAGCACCGTGAAAATGCAGAGGTAGCGATGCGTGCGTACCATGTTGGACACATATTCACGCATTTTTGGAACGCAAGGTAAATGTAAAATTTGGATTTTTTCAAAGGAATTTTGGCAGACAGGTACCGAAACTGCTTCTAGTTTAAATTTGTATTTTTCGCGAATTCCGTGAGGATTACATGAAAAAGATCGATTCCCAGAAAAAACCCTATTTCCACACAAACTTGTTAAATTAATTTTAAAATTCAAAAAGTTTTCCCCTCTTAAATCGAAAAGTTTACTTCCCCATCGAAATCCAAAAGTTTGCACACATTTTTTCCCAGCTCAAAAAGGCTGTGAAATGTACACATGTACATACGTATATACCATTAAAAAGTCTTAAAGGTTCAAAACGCTAAGCAATCGAAATCCCTGGAAACCGAAATGAAAGGAAATGGGAATTAGGGCGACCACATATTCACAAGATTAATTAAGCTTTTAGTGTTTCGGCCAAAATTCTGCCGTACAGATTTAAAGATTTTGAGCTTACCCCACGCCTGTCACGAAGAAATTTAAATTTCTTTTGGGGATGGAGAAAATGCTGAAGTTTTCGCCTATAGCAACGTAATACTGTGCACAAAAGATGTTCGCTAGGAATTTGATAAGCTGTTCCTAGCGGTTTTAAGAGCACATAAAGATAAAAAGTTGAAGAAAATACATTTGTAACATATCCAAATCCAAATTTGAATTTAAAGTTTGGTGAGCCAAAAACCATAACCTATAAAAGCACTTTGTTTAATATCATAAATGGTTTATAAGAGCAATTAAAATCCAGAATATTTTTGTGGTTTTTTCCCGATAATTTCGATGCTAGTTATTATTCATTCAGTTAAAATGGGTTGTTAAATTATCTGGGCTTTGCAATGGTTGACTTCATTTATAAATTATCGTGGCGCATTTGCGAATGTCATTTAATCCTATTGCTATTAACAACATTGAAGCGTTTAACTGTAAGACCGTTTAAGTACTCCTCTTATCTCTCATTAAGGGAATTCAAAACCGATTTCATATTACATTCGGAATTCTATAAAAAAGCTGCTTAAGATTAAATTGAGTTTTTCTTAAGGAGCATTTCTAAGCCCATGATGGGAAGTCAGCGGAAGTGTTGCAGATTTTATTTTTCGGTACAGAGGCGTATAACGTTGAACTTCAATTTCGAAATACTAATTTTTCTCAATTATAGATACATTACATTACGTGATAAACAGCATTTATCACACTATTGATTGGAAATGTAAAGATAATGCAAGCAATTTCATTCGCATGTTGTAAATGACCTTTTTCCGATATGAATTTTGCAATTTAACTGAAATAATGAAAACTGAACATCACAAAATAATTAAGTAATTGATATCAACAAACTTAAAACGCCAAAGCGAAGGAAAACCAATCTATATTAATTAACATGTACATTATTAACATTAACATTAACATTAATTAACATGCTTATCATGAATAATCATGATTATGGATCTCAGTATCATTATAAACCTCATTAATTATATTGAACAAAATTAAACATATTGCAATTAAGACGGCTATTGTAGTTTGTGTCATGAACTTCTTGAAAATGTGTCCCTTTTTTATACATTTTTAAATTAAATTGCTCCTTTGCCCTATACTTCCCTTTATTAAGAAGGGAGCAAAATGCACATATAATGCTCGTATACGTGTATGAATATGAATTTCTTATGAAGCTGTCATAGTAACTGAAAAACTGAAAAGTTGCTGAAATGCGGCTTAAACTACAGTTGGTTCCTATTAATTTAAATGTGCAGGCATTGAGTCCTTTTTATACCCGTTACTTGTCGAGTAAAACGGTATACTAGATTATCTTAATCGGATTTTGAAGTGGCATGCCTCTAAATATTTGTGAAGCATTTCTCTAAAAAGTTGCATTTAAATTTAGAAAATTTTTGTAATTTAATTTTTTTTTTTTTTTTCTGTTGTAGAAATTCGAAAAAATTAAAAAATGTCCCAAGGCTGAAGTTCTAAGCTCCATAACTCAACTTATCTTAAGCGGATTTTGAAGTGGCATGCCTCTAAATATTTGTGAAGCATTTCTCTAAAAAGTTGCATTTAAATTTAGAAAATTTTTGTAATTTAATTTTTTTTTTGTTTTTCTGTTGTAGAAATTCGAAAAAATTAAAAAATGTCCCAAGGCTGAAGTTTTATACTCCATAACTAAACTTATCTTAATCGGATTTTGAAGTGGCATACCTCTAAATATTTGTGAAGCTATACTCTAAAAAATTGCAATTGAATTTGAAAATTCATTTTCCTTTATTTTTTTCTAATTTTTTTGATGTTCTGATACTGTAGAAATTCAAAAAAATTAAGAAGGATTCTGAATTCCGAGCCGTACAGTAGATAACGAAAAATACAAATAATGAGGTATTTAAAGTTCAAATGTTTTTAATAAATCCTATTTCAGCTGATTAAATTCCTGCTTTTCTATCCATTAAGGCGCTGTCTTCCAATCCATATAGCCAATTAATTTTTATTTTGATGCCCTCTAGGCCAATTTACTCAGGAATGTGATTGTGCCAAGGGGAATTATAAATCTAACAAGAAAAACAAATGAGAAAAGGTTCTGCATCTACATGAAAAAGTTGACTTACAAGACAAATAAGCACAAGTATATGTGGCAAATTACCCCATTTCTGTCTATGCTGGCTTACACTATTCAGTTTATGCTGTTGAAATATTGTTTAAGTTGCGAGCTTCTGGTGAAATGTAAATGGAGCTCAATAAAGGCAACACTGGCTTTAATAAAACTGAATCCAATTGTATCTTATCACATAAAAAAGGTGACAAAGGCAGCTTTTTTGGCAGAAATAAGAGCACATAATTTTATGATCCACTCTTATTTTTGTGCTATCTCACATGTCCGAAAAGGTCCAACAAGAAATGTGACTCGTTCTGCTTTTGGCAATTTATGAAGCGGAGCAGGACTCTTGATGGATTTGCTTTTAAGCTGCGAATTTCGTTGGCAAATAAATGGAAGCCACGAGCACACTACTACAAGCAGTTTGCCTTTTCCGGGTCCCAATTAAGCTTGGTATAAAAGAAAATAGCCCTCAACGGATTACCGGCCTATCAATGGGATATAAAGGGAATGCATTTATCTCCATTGTTCTCTATTTTTATTCATCACAGATCAGATGGCCGCTGTCAATCCTCATCGAAAAACATCAGAACATCAAAACAACAAGTTGAAGAGTTGGATGGCGAACCAGTACGAATAGGAAACACTTTAACTTATGTATGTGAAACTTTCATTTAAGCTAGGCACATTATATTTGCCTACAATTTCGACAAAAAGGTATAATAACATAAAATATATAATATACTTCAACGACTTCGTACATAGCAACTAGATATTTGTCACTCATTTTCCCACATTAAATTATTTGATCCGTTTAACCAGCTATAATTCACAGCGCAGTTAGAGTATTTTGTCAAATGCCTCGAGGGACGCATGATGAGTTTGATTAGGGCAACAGAACAGTCCCTTCAATCATCGTGCTGAGCCATAAATGTTGGCATATTTTTGGGACAGGACGCGTTGACTTGTGCTGCAAAGTGGGATTGCCATTTGAATTGCAAATGCGGCAGGTTGCTGAATTATGCATGCACATACACGGTTACCACAGGACGAAATTCACAATTAATTTGGATAATACAAGTATGTCTCGAATTTAAAACCGCCTTAGCAGCTGGCTCACTCACTCGCATCTGTGAATATTCAGCTAGGAATCCAATATGTATCGTATCCGACAGTCGGCGCATGGAGGAGACGGCGGCTCCGGCGGCCAGAGGATTGCTCCGCTGACAGCCGAGCAGGACGACGATGCAGGAGAATGCAGCGCTGGAGGCGGACAGACCTGGCATCCTCAAAGGCAATAAAGTTTTATTTCACACGCAACTGAAGCAACTGACACCGACACGGCCACTGACAGTTCCAGAATCCGACCCACTGTATCAAACTGACTTTGGAGCACTTGATCCAACTCGTGGATTTTCACATGGTCGCGGTAGCACTAGATGCCACAGCGGACAGCAGAAGTCATTTATTTGTCCAGTCAAATCCGACGACTCGTTTATCCCGATCGGTGTGCGTACATCCCAGCTAGAGGGTCCAACTTGTTGCTCCGCTTTTCCGAGCTCCGTCCCGGCAATTCAACACGCCCGTAGTCCGTCGCAGACTGTGTTCGTGCTATCCGTGGTCCTGCTTTTATAGCCTGCGTGCTTCGTGCGCCTCGGCGGAATTCGCATTGGTTCCGGATACGAAGAGGAGCCGTGGGTGGGTCTTTTGGGTGGCCAGCAGGACGCGCCGGAATTAAGTGGTCTATGAATGACAGCATCAGCAGAGCCTCGGGGATCAGGAGCGGGACAAGTGGGCGACTGTGGCCAGTTGGCCAGTTGGCCGGTTGGCCCGTTGGACAGTCCGACAATTCGACAGGATGCTAAGGACTTTGTTTATTTGTTTCTCTTGGCAGCCAAAAATCATTCGTTTCAAATTTAGACTGACCCCAGTGATGACTTGACCGAACATCACGGCTGTGGAGCACACTTTTTTTCCTGTTCCTGGTTATCATCGAGGCAATTTTCATTCCCAAATTGCAATAATACATCCTCCTGCAGTCTGACACTCAATTATGGAAAGAGTCTTTTGATTTGGGTTGCCAGGATGGGTTGCGTAGCATGGTATGGGCTTCCAGGCCTAATGGCCTGGCAGCCTTTTAATACTTTTGTTTGTTGACGGTTTTCAGAACGTAATTGTGCATAAATCATTTTAAGCCCCAACTTGACCTTGAGGTCCTACAACAAAATACAGCATAAAAAGCGATGCTTAACCTATATTCTTTTGAAAGCAAGGACACCCTTTATCGTGGTGCGTTGTAGAATTGAAGTTCAAGGACAGCGAACTGTGAATTTTGGTGGCTAGTTTCGAGCTTTTCAACGTAATCCCTAATCCATGCTTAACTTGCCACAAAGGGGTGGCTGTGGGTTTTCGACAGAAATCCAAGGCAAATGTTTTGGCTTATGGGACCGAGCATCGCGGAACCTGAGACTTACTTTGCA